TGATTTAGAATGAGATCATAGCATGTCCGGCCTCAAGATCGACTTCAAGCCTGGCCTTGGACTTCGTTGCGTGCAGCTTCGTGATTTTAGTCGTTTTCCTATTTTAGCTGTATTTTCTTTTCCTTTTTAGTTTAGAATTTGTCACCGGCTATACATGGGGGCATGTCTAGAGTTTATTTTATCAGACTTTTGACAATTATGATCAATCTCTAACACTTTTGTGTTTGATTAATTCTTGTTCTTGGATGCACTCAAGTGGAGATTCCTGTTGAATCTTGTTTTGTTTCTGGATTGAATCCCATTTTTCTTTGAGGAGTCGATCGTGTATTAGGTATTCGTGTAACCCCTTCATCATGTCACGTTTTTCTGTACCGTGTCAATTTGATTAGGAAGGGGAGCACAAGTCTTGTAAAATAATAATTAGCTTAGAAATTTAAGGTGCTATATCTTTTGGCATGCTTTAATTTAAAATTTTTTTTGATAAAGGTACTAAATTTATAGATTTTTTTATTCTGCATAAGTTGAAATTAAAAGGACTAAGCGTTGCCGGTCGTTGAGACCAATTAATAGAATAGCGAACGGTAAGGATTTCTTGTTCCATAATCATGATTGAGAAGCAGAGATGCTTCTTATGCAACCTCTCTCAAGAGGTCAAGGTCCTAATAATATATCCCTTTATCCTCTATCCGTAGTTTGATTGCTGCTTTATTCCTCTATCAATGGGTTTGATTTTTTTGCAATTGCATGTTGACCCTAGCAGCATTAAAAAAAGCCATTACGGCTAGGGGTAGTTAAGACGCGATTGTGACTCAAAATGGTCGGTAATGTAGGAGAGAAATACACTTTGACCTTGGCCATGCTTGACATTGAGAAGCTCACATTGGTCATGTGTGGGTGGAACTCATCGGCAATTGCCATTGGACCAAATTTAAACTAGCCTCTCGAAAACGCATAAATTAAAGCCCTAATTCCCATTATTAACTATTTGATGAAGTAGGTGATTATTATTTTTTTTTTTTTGGTCTTCAGATGACAAAGTTAATTGTAGTGAAGCACATTTTTTCCCATAAATTCAAATTTATTGTTGTCTTCAAATGAATTTAAGTATTTTTTTAAATTTTAGTGTAAGTGGAAGGTCTCCAATCAATCCTAAATTTTTCATTTACACTCGCTCCTTCTATGCTAACCAAATCATTCATCCTCGCTCGCTCCCTCCTCCTCCTGTACCATCCAAATCATTCGTCGTCCAGAAAATAATGGTAGAATTAAATAGCTTGTATACAGCATGAATGTCAATTCACATTTTCGACGCATTCTAAATTCTGCTCTAAGCACTTGGACTGCCTCCTTTCTATTGGGAACAACACATTATTCTTTCACAATCTTGTATACAAATACTAGCACTTCCCAAAAGAAATTTGAAGTTATAACCAATGGTATGATTTCAAAAACGTTGTTTATAAAAGCTTTAAAGTGAAAGTCTTGCCCAAGCTTGCATGAAGATTCTTTTTTGTGTAAATCTATTATATTTGCAGAAATTAGTGCAGCTGTAAAAGGTTGTAAAAAGAAGTGGTTTATACATTGACAATGAACTACAATTAACAAGATTAGCATAATTTGGTAAACTGAGTTTTGTTCTAATCTATTTTGAACAGTTAAACCAATTCGACATATGCACACTGGCCCTCTTATTTTTTTTCCAAAACTATGATCATTTGACATTATAAGGAGGAAATTTTAAGCTAATGAACAAGTAATGCTCCTACCCCACCTAGTACATGGGCTCCTATTTTTATTTTTTTTTCATTCTCCTCCATGATGTAAATAAAATTAACAAAGAAACCATATTAGTATATTAGGCTAGCTATAGCTAGGAGAAGAATCCTAAATCGTGGGAGTATAGTTGAAAGTGATATGAGGACGAGGGAAGACAAATGATTAATGTCAATGAAAAAATAATAGGACGATATAGACCACTTTGTCCCTATCTATTTGGAATGGTACACAAGGGCTTTTGGATTAATTTGATAATCACAATTAGTTTAAGTACCTATCATTAACTTATAGATTAGATAACAATAATGTTTTATATTTCGGCCGGTTCCAAACAGGGTTTTGCTGTTATAATATACCTTAATGAGATTGGTGGCCTAACCATCTTGACGGCTAGGATCATTTTACATTCTTTGCCACGCGGGCACCCAGGTAACCGCAATAGTCTGCACCGCTGGGTGACCAATAGACTAGTAATAATTAGTAAACCAATGCAAAGCTAATGCTAGAATGGTATCAAAAATCAAAACTACATATATCAAATATAATATGATTGTGACCAAAAAAAAAAAAAAAAAAAAATCAAAGCCCAATTGGGTTCTGGAGGCAGTTTTTTTTTTTTTTTCCCTTAGTTTCCATACCAGCCTAATTCAGCATCTCCTTCCCTTGTAGTGTAGGAGTAAGGATAGACTGCTATATTATATATATATATATATATATATATATATATATATATATATATATATATAACCAATTCTTGAAATATAATGAATTAAAAATAGGTAAATTTGTTAAATTCTTGCATAACGTACAAATTCAACCATTTTAATTACAAAATCTTGCCACCACCTCTTCTGGTGGGGTGGGAGGTCAGGAGTTCAACCCTTGCCTCCCACCAAATTGTCTGTCCCTCATAGGCAACTCGGTTGGTCTCAACAAGCCTCCTTATGAGCTGGTGTCCAGTACCCACAAGGGTACGAGTCCTGTGGTTATCGTGTTCGGGGGGATGGGGCCTCTCCTTCCGGGCCGGAATGGAATTAGTCGGGCCTCGTAAGGATTGACCATGACACCCACTCCGTAAAAAAAAAAAAAATTACAATACCTTGTCCAAAATCAAAGCTAGAGATTTTGAATCATGTAATTCTAATATCATCCCAATAAATTAAATAACGAAATAAATAAAAAAAAAAGCATGTGAACAACTAATTATTGAAGTAATGGTTAACTAGAATGATTAATTACCCCCCTTGACATATGTGGTTCAGCCCCTACTCTTTGATAGACGTACGCCAAGGCTTAGTTCTAACAAACCGTATTTAGAAAATAATTCATTTTAATTTCCCTAGGATGTCTATCTAAATTACCACATTGTATTTTTTCAATCGGCGTGCACCTTAACCAGAATTTTTTTTTGAAGCCAACTTAACCAGATTCCATTTTCATGTCTTTGTTAAACCAATATGAAGTTCAAATCTCTTCATTATGTTAAGACATTCATTTTAGTTGCAATGATCTTCATATGACAAAAAAAAAAGAAGGAATTATTAATAGCGTCTTCAATTGAATAATTCCTTATACATACATTTTAGCTTGTATATGGAATTGAAGAGAACTTGTTTATCATGTAAGTAATTTCAGCAAACAAATGAACAAAATTATATTATCAAGAGAGTAATGCTGAAGGTGGCTGTAGATTAAAGTAAAGACCTCATGCTATCTTTAAAATGTACAATTTTTGGATATCCTTGGAATCTTAGTATCACAACAATGCCCAGAAATCTATAAAAGAAAATTTTAAAAATTCTAATTAACCGCATTAGGAAAATTCTAAGTATAGATGCAATAGTATTCATTGATTTTTTTTCTTAACTTTGAACTCGTCTTACTCATAATTTTCTTGTTTTTGAGTTCCTCAGAAATTTTTTATTTATATACATTTCAATATTCCTTTAAAATATAGCAGTTTTGCAAAGTCAATTCCTTTTGGCAGTACCAAAATTTTTTCTTCTGATAGAATAATAATGCATAGGACAACATGTGTGAGGAAAAGACGATTAACGAAGTACCTAGCGCTTTCAGAAAAGGCTCTTCTTTTTTGGAAAAAAAAAAAGCGTTTTATTTTTTCTTCCCAATTGACTACAATCAAGTAGTATATAACTACAAAAAAATTTAATGTCTAGGATTATAGGAATCTGATTTCTTCAACAAAGACTCAATCCTCTCTTTATCTTTTCCTCAACCGGCAATTAAGATTTCCCCAGCCCCAGGCCTTCTGGAGAATGAAAAATATTTCATATACCTAAGTTGGGTATGACTCAAAACCTTCGAATACTTAAAATTTATTGAGACCATTTATTTTGGTAAAAAAAAATACATTGAGACCTTGATCTATACAATTAGCGTTTGTAATAGAATAGAATGTCACCTTCGGTCCTCCATGACCAACGTATAATATATACATTTATGTGTAACAGAACAGGATACGTTTGTGGCTCAGGCTTTTAAAGCTGTCCACCCGTTAATATCACCGTTGACGTTGAGATCCCATTTTGATGGTGTTAATGAAGTCAATGGTATCATAATGAAAACAAAATTAAGCAGACAAAGTGATGTAATACTTAATAGCATAATTATTAAACCCAACTCGGAAGGGAACCCGACGAACGAGGTGGGTCAACAGGTTACTGGTTCAACCAGTGGGTGAGTGGTTGAACCGATGGATCACTAATTATATTTCATAATTTTTGATATAAGGTCTATGATGTAATACTTAATAGGCTTAGAACATGTTAGATCAAGTGTTGCATACCAAGAAAATGAAGATTGACCTATTTTTTAATCGACCAAATTAGTAGCTACCTTATCAATCATCCCATATAATATAATCCTGCAGAGTAATTTCTGCCATGAAAATCAATTTCTAATGTTGAATGATAAGATAACCTGTTTAATGGAAATAGGAGTAAGAGCAAAATGTTTGATTTAGTTCAAGATATTTATGCTGGTATTTAATTAATCTCAATTTGCACGGTTAATTGCCCCTTCTAGTAATCATAATATACTACTACTTATGAAGCGGCCATTCAACGTCCAGAAGGGGTTTCAACCATCCTATCATCATCATAAGTAAATGTTCAGCTTAGAAGAGTCATAGATTTTATCATTGATAAACCTACTTTGGGTTTATCGACCAAAAGATAAGGTTTAATTTGCAGGGAAGAGCAAGGTGTCCAAAAACATGCCTTTCCAAATGCAGTATTTAAATGTTGAAGTCAATTAAAAGACTTGTTTTCCAGCATATATATCTAATCGTTTGCATGAAATTCATTGGCTTGAGCTCATCATCTGCTCGTGCAAGTTCATGCAACTTTGACCTTGAGCAAATACACAATCGCAATCCAAAGAGTTCTTGATATAGGAAAGTTTAACTAATATAAGAAAGCAACCGGCCTCCATATATTGAGCAAGATATAAAGGTAGGGCTACTCTAACACCGTTAGAGTCTCTGAATCATTGGATGTGGATTCAGTCTTTGGTTTTTTCCTTTTGTGACATATATCAACTGATAACCTGCAAAAGATAGGGTAAAGGACTAGAATTAATCCCAAAATAGTCACTCCAATTGTACAGACAACTAGCATAAATAAGGTAATAATATGCTTGTGCAAACTCCCACAGTCCACACCATTTTCCTTATATTGAGTGTGAAGAACGGCTCTTGTCCCTAACATTCTCAAAGAAAATTTGTCGGGGTGGGGTATTACTAAAGGAAGTTAATCATGGATTATCAATGAATCTAAAAGTGATTCAATCTGGATCGATGCCTGAGTAGTTAATGGGGATAGATTGTAAATTTGTTGGCATTATGTCTACGCTGGTTTAAATCTAGCTCGGCCCAATATTTTGCCCAATTCACCAATCCAATCTATCACAAGAGGGTATAACTCTCTATCTTTTATAAAGACTCGATGCGGAGATAAAAGAATAAAAATCTCCTCAATATCTCCTTTTTTGGCTGGGATTGTAGTTCAATTGGTCAGAGCACCGCCCTATCAAGGTAGAAGCTGCAGGATCGAGCCCCGTCTAAACTGATTTAGGATCCTTTGAAAACTAAAAAGTGTAAAATTTCTAAAATATAAGTTAAGAATGCAATGTGAGAATGAATGAAAAGATTAGAAATCCTTCCTACATTTTAATAAATGGTAATCAGTTGCTTTGGAGGTCCAAATTCAACTTATCCATTCATGTATTTTAGTGTATGATAAAATTCTTTCATTTTTTTTTTGACACATAATCATGATAGCAAAAAATTGTGTATTATGCTAAAATAACCAGTGGTGTATCCACTGGACAAATGATGCTATAGTTTGCCTCAACTACAATTTATATTATCTAACAGGCAAACACGCTGAAATATTGCAAAAACCAATTTCATGAATTTTTCTAACAAAGTCAAATTAGGCTTTGAAATAATAGCAAATATTTTTTCTAAGAAGAAGAGAAGTCCAGTATATTTACCCCAAGCGCAATGAAGTGTCTGAATTTCCATCTTTCTCTGATCTGCAGTCACAGACTGTGCTTGAGCATACACCAGAATTCTTCCTCCCAAGTTGACCATTTTCTCGATACAACCTTAAGCGATACTCCTCAACCTACATGTTGCAAATACGAAATTAATTAAACCCCAAAACCTTTAATTAGTGTCATATACAAGAGTAATGCCACTAATTCTTTAACACTTTTTTTTAAAATCCTACCTGTTCACGAAGAGCTTCATTTTCTAGCACAACCTTCTGTTCCTACCATCCACATTCAAAAGAAAAAGGGAAAAGAAAAGAGAAGAATGGAAAAATGAAATCCATTATTAGCGAAATAATATTTGTCGTTTTATTGAATAAACCAAGTAACGTACAATTTAAGAGATAGGTCTTCAAAAAGGCACTGCTATAACAAAATTCTTGCAGATGAATTAACTGAGTGCATTCTCAATGGAAAAAGAATTCTAAAAATATGATAATGTAGGTTCAACATGCTCAAATATGGAATACGGGGGCAACCAGGAAAGTGCTACATCAAAATAATGCCCTCTGCCTTTTATATATCCATATCCACCTATTAAGTGGTTGAAAGGAATATATTCTTTTTTTTTTTTGGGTGTTAACATTTTGTGGGAAGTTGCCAAGACTTATAGAGTGCAAAATGCACAAAAAAGTGTAGCACTTGCTTTCTGTTTTTCCCTGCCTCATGAACAAAGAGTGTACCTGCAATTTGGATTTTTCAAGCTGCTCCAGCAAGACCTGCTCCTGCAATACAAAGGAAACCTTGATCAACGCCATCAGACGAGATTGTTTCCTAACCAGTCCAATTATCAAGAATTGCCTAGAATTGTGGACATTCTTGATGTAGGCACGTTGCCAAAACTCAAGATCCATGCCTTCGAGAAATACCTTCCTGTCCTTAACAGCTAATATCCCTTCATGCAACTGATGCTCCAGGTGCTGCAACTCCTGAAAATTCAGCCCTCCAAGTTCCTTGCCCGTCATTTGACTGGAAAAATCCAAGTGATAAGAATGAGCATCCCAACTCCTGTGCATATAGGAAAATGTACCCATATTTTTCTATGTTTTGCAGGCCCCCCCCCCCCCTGCCCCTCACCTTTGTTATACAGATTCCTGAGATTATAGTGGTCTGTTGGTTTATGTCAAGAATGAATTATGTATGTGAAAGAGATCTTACTGTGTAACATTGTACCAATATTTGCTAAACAAACAGGTCCAATCAAACTTTTTTTTGAGTGAAAATTTTTCTTTTCATTATTGTGTTTGTTTAGATGATCTTGAAGTTTATAGATGATTAATTGGTTTATATTGTTTTCAGAAGAATTGTACCATTTTGAACTTAGATGCATCAAAAGCAGAGGCTTACCGCTGCACCAACTGTAGCTTCGCAATTTCAGATTTCAAAGCATCTGCCTGAGGCTGCGGTTCATTCTAGGATATAACAAAGAAGAAGCAGATCGTGTTAGTCACATCCCATTTGTTTATGAGCTTAAATTATGCAGTTTCTCAATATTAAGAGCTAAGAGAGCTTTTTAAAATACCTAAAACCTTCGAAGAATGCCTTGCCACTTTAAGGCATCATGGTGAATTCAAGGATTTTTAACTAGTAATAACTATTAATTTTGAACTTGTAAAGTTGAATAATTTTACATGTTGAGTCGAACTATAGTAACTACTTATATTACTATTGTTTAGACTTGAATCCTCTATCTCACTTCTTGTACTAATCTCTATTCCTTTACTATTTTTTCGCCACATGTTATACTACATGGTATGTTGACAATAACCGCAATAGTAATATGTAGAATAAGAGAGTAAAAGCAGATAATCTAAAACCCATTTTTTTTACTACAATTATCAAGTACATCTAAAACAAAGAAATACATAGCACTATTTAAGAGGTATTGGCAAATCATAAGTGCAATATTTACCTCTGTTTTATTCTCCATTGTAATAAGCTTTGAAGATTCTGGATTGGTGTTGTACCTCGCAAGAATTTGCTCCATGCTTCGAAACAAAACACAAATGCATGTAAGAAGAGCAGGTGAAAATTTTATTTAATAACCACTAATCCTAAATATCAGGCAGTCCAAAATACATAAAAAGAAAAAGAATTTACCATTTACTTTTCTACCAGTATTGCTTTTGCTTCAAGAATTTTGTTATTTCTTTCTTTGAGTTTGTTTTGTTTAATCAAGAAACCTTTAATCTCGTGCAAGAAATTTGGCGGAAAGAAAATTAAGAAATGATTCGTTGTGGCCCAGAATTCGTAATCTCGCATGCGGGCAACGAGGGCCCACACTCAGTTTCTGTCTCTGTTGCTTGGGTCAAAGGGTTGGGCCAGAACAAGGTTAGTCACAACTTTTTTTTTTTTTTTCACTCTGGGAGTGGTTAACTGGCCCATCCCATTTTTCAGTATGTTGTCCAATTGGATGTCCATGTTGGCCATGTAAATTCTTTCCTCGAAATTCCTAAATTTCAAAGTTTATAGATAATTTTCTTATTTCCAAAAAAAAAAGAGATAATTTTCTTGGTCAATAATTGTGGGCTAGTCTAGACTAAATTTAATGAAACTAGGAATGCTTTTGTTAAGGCATTTCGATTTCATTAGATAATTAATTGAGCTTCAACGGATCCTTTATCTATGTTGTGTACTTGGCCCTTTTTGTTATTTTTTTTTTACCTTTTGACAAAAATGGGAGAGAAAAAGATGTACAAAAGTAATTTTCAAAGTCTGTATTTGCATTAGTTTTCTCGACCAATGAGAGTTTAGCCAAACTTTTTGTCAATAGGTTTGGTTGACTTAGTTGGACTGCGTGCTTTTCTCTTAATAGGGATTAGGAACTAGGAAGAGTATAAAGTATTGTCACAACACTTCTTTTTTTTTTTTTTTTTTTTTTTTTTAGAGCGAGATTCCAAGTTTTCTAATGTCCCTATCAATTCAACTTATGACCAAAAGAATAAATTAAGAGGCCTATATGTGTCCTAACTTTCAATAGCTTGTTGTTTGTAGGAGGATAGTAGTTGAATAATTGATTTACTCTTAAAAAAAAAAAGGCAGTGCTTTCTAGAAATTTAAATTTACCTAAGTATTTTTTGAGATTTATCAACAGCTTGAAATATTTGGTTTTATATTTACACATGGTAATATTTACGCACGGTAATTTACTACAAAAAGAAAAATCAACAGCTTGAAATGAATCCAAATTTGGATGTAGCAAAAATCGCACTTGCTACTTATTTTCTTAAATATGACATAAGGGAAGAAAAGTCAATAGGTTAATAACCATTCCTCTGTAGGCAGAAAGAGGAAGAAAAGAAAATGTTGAAAACTGATTCATGCCTCAGCAAAAAAAAATGAAAAAATTAATGCATATGAATTGACAAGTTTACTTGAGCAGCAAGGTTTATATCTCAAGAAAAAAAAAACATAGAACAGCCGCCATCTATAAGTACAAAAGACCATTCTCTAGAGTATTGCATTTTCTTTATTTTTTTTTTCTATAACAAACAAAAGATAAGGAAACTGACGTTTCTATCCAAATATATTGAATCTGAAAATATTACTGTTTTATCACTCCTTTAAGCCTTCTTTTTTTTTTTTTTTGTTTCATTTCCATTGGAGAGTTGGGCTTAGAGGATATGTTAATTCACAGCCATAAAAGGTCCAAAAATCTGGTTCTGTGTATATTCAAGAAAATTTTAATTCACAGAATATATATAAAAAAAAAACCCAAAAATATCAGATAAAAAAGAAAAGAAGAAGAAATGAAATCAAGGCAAGAAGGCTTATGATCAAGATCACAAACATACCGAGTACTGGCAAATTCATAAAGCTTTCCAGTGCTGGAGAAAACTATAACGCCAACCTCTGCATCGCACAAAATAGCCAACTCCTTAGCCTTCTTCAGTAAGCCGGCGCGGCGTTTTGAGAAGGTGACTTGCCTGCTGTTGACGTTCTCAATTTTCTTGATCTCAATTTTTCCCCTCCCCATTTTCTCTTATTCGTTGGAGATTCTTTTCCCTATGATATCAAGAGGGATTGTTTACTATGGTTTTCTTGAATATGATATATAGAGATAGCCATGTGTGTATATATAGATTGTAGCTTTTGGAGAATTCAGTGGGGTTTATGTCATAGCTTTCTTTGGTAAGTCTCAATTACACAGGTCCAATGGTGGAAAGTGTAACCAAATATAGAAGAAAATATAGAAAGGAAATTATGAGTTTACTAATTCAAGCAAACACCTTAATGTGGTATTTTGCATTTACCTTTTGGAGGGGACTTTACCATTTTGGGAACATTGTCAATAAAATGGAACGTTTAGTATAGCATGAGGATACGAGACGTGTCTTTATCTATCACTCTTTTTGCTTTGTGTGGGAAAAAAAAAAAAGAGAGATGGGGTGTGGAGTTAGGAAATTGAGGAGTTAAAAATGAAATGAAACGTGCACTATATTGGATGTTTCCATTGAGGAATTGGAATGGAATGGTTTACTTTTTATATGTGCTATATTAACATTTGAATGGACATTTGTAAAAGTGGGCTTAGCCAAGAAATGGAAAATAAGCAAAAGGGAGAAAGAAAGAAACTACTTTTCATATGTTCGTTTTTAACATTTGATTGGACATTTGTAAAAGTGAGCTTAGCCAAGAAAGGGAAAATAAGCAAAAGGAGGAAAAGCAATAAACAAAGATAGAAAGATAGTAATCGATAACCGTAACCTATGGATAGCAAATTTGGGTTGAACTCATGTCTAGCTATCTATTTCTATTGCTGGTAATTCTTCTTGATAGTTCAATATATTAGACGTTACATTCTCAAATTGAAGGTCTTAGCTTTCAATTTGATCGGCCCAAACTAATATCTACTCTCCTGTAAAGTTTACTATATGAAGCACAATTGAAAGCAGACGACATCAATTTGCACATCACAAATTTTACTGATAAACTTTTTGCATGGAACTGCAATATGCTATGAACTAGAAAATTTAAAAATAAAAAGTGTGTGTGTGTCATATTAATTGAATAATCCTTTTAATGCTTTTCTCCCTGGTTATTCATTTGAAGGCTCTCATAACTTTGATTCGATTCTATTATTTTAACTTGTTTTCATTGCTTTTTTTTTTTGCACTTTTTGTTTTAATTCCTTTGGACATGGTAAAACAAAAATGTTGCTCAATCTAATTTGATTTGTAACAAAGCCTTCCTTTTATTTGGTTGTTTTGGCCATCTAGAATGTTACGGTTATCGTGTGGTTGTTAATGGGACATCAAGAACAATAGTTAAGGCAAATCACTATATTTTACTTGTACAAACATTTGCCTATTCAGCTCATATTGAGAAGACTTATCCTTTATATGAAAGCTAAGGACAGCTGACTTCATTTTTTTTCTTTTTTCTAAATTCAAGATGATTATTCATGTTTCTAAGTATAAATATTTTCGACATTAAAGGAAACCATTTGAGAAATTTCATATAATGTATTTATCAAAAAAGAATGCGATAATATGAAATTTTGTGATGATGTATATATTTTGAAGACATATCGGTAGTAATATATATTGTACAAATTCAATAAGTATAAATTTTTGACAAATAAATAAGGATTATTCTTGTACACGACGACAATATATATATTACTATTTTTGGATGTATATCACATATGCAAAAAAAAAAAATTCAAATTTGATGTGGGATTAAGTGGCATGCAATCAAGGGTACTAATGTATATGCTATCAATATACAATGTCAATTCAAATATAATTCATAGTAAAACAACACGAGACATAGGAATAGACATATATAGCATTTGTGTAGAGATTAATTCATAGTAAAACAACACGAGACATAGGAATAGACATATATAGCATTTGTGTAGAGATTAATTTCAAGCATTTATATATTTTGGAATTGTCTGCCGCGCTTATAAGTGTGGCTTATTTTTCCATCATTTCATTTAAGAGCAAATTATTCGGATGGCTACTAAACTTTTGCAATCGTTGAGTTTTGATCACTGAACTATTAAAAGTCTAGTTTTGACCACTGAAATATATAAAGCTAAGACTCGAGGCCATTCCGTTAGATTTAGTCGTTAAGTATGCCAGATCTAAGTATCGGCATAATTCTCAAGACAAAAAAAGGGCAATTTAGGAAGTTCAAGAGGAAACATTATTCAAGGGACAATTCAAAAAGTTCATCGGGAAGAACAACTTTGTAGACAAATCTAGTATTCCCCCTACCAAACTCATTGAACTCCTTGAAACCATTGGTGGCATCCTTCAGTTCTGAAAGCCGGAACACTTGGGCAATCCCAAGACATTGGACCACACACGAAAGAGGATTTGGATCACCATTGACTTCAATCTCCTGCTCAGGTTTGCCAATGCAGGAAGCAAAATGTATCCTTTTTCCTCCTCCTTTTGCGGATGTGACGCGGGGTAAGAGGTATCAGCCAAGTAAATCAACATGAATCCTGAGGCAGAAGACCCAATTATAAGTAGCAATTCACGCAATTGATGTTGGTGCTTCGGCTTCATCTCCGGCGAAAATTGGAGCCCATAAATATCCCAGCAAGAGTTGTTCTGGCAGAGGGAGCAAGCCGTGCAAACCTTGTCAGCATCCTCAGTACGAGCACTCGAAGTGAAAAAATCCTGCAGAACAATTCTGCGCACAAGGAGAACAAATCTTGAGATCTTTCCAAACACACTAGTTGGTCAGATCTAGCTCATTGAAAATGCTGGCGTTGAAGGCAAATTTTCCTTCACCATAAGTAGCAGGGCTGCATAATCCGAGACTGCATAACTGCAATGGAGGATCATAATCTAAAGGTGGAGTACCATTTGCAAACCAACAATCAAGTACTAGATTAGCCTCCCTGACGCCGCAGGTAACAAAATCTGTGGAAGCAAGGGTAAGAAAACTAGAACTCTTTGGAGACCAAAGACGAATTAAAGTTCCCCCAGCATTCAAGTCCGTAATCATCTTCTTGAATCCCACAAAAATGTTTTGCTCCAGCTACCGCCGAAACTAAGCGAATCCCATCTGGCAGAATGTCAAAAGAATCATTATTACCCCATCAATTGCCTCCCTGATTTGCCCCTTTCTTTTGTCTTGGGAATCGCACGAGCAGTCAGATCTGGCATACTTAACTATTAAATCTAATGGAGTGGCTTTCAATATTAATTTTATACATTTCAGTGATCAAAATCAGGCTTTTAATAGCTCAGTGGCTAAAACTCGATGATTGCAAAAGTTTAATGACCTTCCGGATAATATGCTCTTTCATTTAATAATTTTGTGCATTAATTTGCTTATTCTACATGGACAACATCTATTCAGTCAAAGCAACCAAATTAAATATTTATCCCTTAGCTTTGACCTATATCTTGTTTAGCACCATCATATGAGTATTGACACCTCTCCCTCTTTCTCTCTTTTGATATAATGTAGTTCATAAACAACACTTGTCATTACCAATTAACCGCTAAATCACATTGGCAATAATTTTGAAGTATGATGCGGAGATCAACCCTCTTTTTTTTTTTTTCCAGTTTACTTATCAAAGTTGCAAACGACCAAGTCTGTAGTCCCATTTTAAATTGTTGATATTGGTGACTATGAACTGTGTTGATATAAAGAAAGAAGAAAATAACCATTAAAAACATGAAAAGCCAAAATAAAGAATTTGGATTAAATAGAGTTTTTCATAATTTTGCTTTAATATTTTTTAGCCTTACAAAGATATGTGCTTCATTAGGCATAACTGATGAAATAATTTAAAGGGATATTTTGAAATACAATATCAAGTTACGCAAGCAAAACACTACAAAACTAAGTTCAGCAAGACAGAACATACGATTTTAGGGAGCTTAAATGTTATTTGTGCAAATTTAAGATACATTAGTTGGAAGGCATATCCTATGTGTTAGCACACTAAAAAGGTAAACTGATTAGAGAAAAATTGAAAATGGAGCGAAAGTCATTAATATCTCTTTACTAATTTTGTTCTAACGATTAAGGTGAAGGAAATTACAAAAATAAAAAAAATTAATAATCAACATTGTACCCACTTTGCATAGAGTTTATATACGGTTTAGATATAGACTTTGTCTGGTGGTCTATGGCCTGTAACGTAATTTGCCCTTACATTAGCATGTCTCTTCGATATACATTAAAAACTTAAGTAAAGATTTTATTGGAAAATAAACCAAGTTCAGAAGAATTTTAATTAAATAAACCAAGTTTAGAAGAATTTTGACCAAAGTTTAGTAATTTCATTTAGTGTGATTCATGTTTTTACAGTGTACTTGTTCACCAATTTCAGTTACAAATAACGTATTAGCTGCAACGGTTTTTCTAGGGAAGTTTAGAAAGCTCGTCAAGAGTTCATAAAAACTGCTTTCAGGTATTTTGTCTTGTGAAACCCAAAAGTAGACAATGATCTTTTACTCATTCAGTTCGCTCAGAATAAAGCCAAAGCCCAAGCCTATATCTCAATAAGTTTAAAAGAGGTCATATGACCCAAAACTCATGTAGATCTGTTTACTAATCAGCATTGATAATTACAGACGATTAAGTGTATAAATTTCAAGATCACATAATAATAGATTGAATATGTTCCAATATGTAATTTATATTTTACTCATAATATTGAATAAGTTTATTATCATGATGCCCGGTTGGGTCTAGAATAATACTCGACTCTTTGACATGAGTTTAAAATAATTAAGTTAAAGAATAAAAATGATAAAAACACGGTATTATGACAAATTGATGACCTGTTAGAATTTGATACTTAAAAATTTAAGGTGGGGGCTAAATCTATACAATCAAAATCTACACCTATTGCGCCAAGATGCAATATAGTTAGGGGTGTTAACGGGTCGAGTTTAGATTCGGACCCGAGCCGGATCCTGATCTGTTTACTCTAATAAAAAAAATGGGTAGAATACGGAATACATGATTCCGACTCGTATTCGACCTAGATCCGAACAATATATTAATACTTATAAAATATAAATATTTCTAAATTCATTCTTTTATCAAATTAACAATTTA